GGCACCTTGCTTGGTTGTCTTTCACCCTTTTATTTCTTGTTTTTGTCTTTTCCTGCACAAGAAGCTAATATTCCCAACCAGACTGTAAGCTGCTTGAGGGCTGTGTTTGTGTGTCAGACAGATCGTGTGTGTGTGTGTTTTTAAAGTATTTTTTCTTTATTGGTTTTAGAGAGAGAGGAAGGGAGAGGGAGAGAGAGAGAAACATTGATGAGAGAGAACATTGACTGGCCGCCTCCTGCATGCCCCCCACTGGGGATTTGGCCCACAACCGGGGCATGTGCCCTGATTGGGAATGGAACCGGCGGCGTCCTGGTGCAGGGGTCGACGCTCAACCACTGAGCCACACCGACCGGGCCAGACTTAGTTTTAACATAGTCCCCAGTGCAGTATAGGACTCTGCGCATGGGCCCTCCAGTAAATGTTTAGAATAAAAGTATTTTCTCTTGACAAATTTTGGTGATATGTGAAACATCATTCCATTTTATTCTGCTTTTTAGTGTTTCTTACAGGAACTGAAAGAATTCAAGTAAAAGGTTTAAAGAGCATGAAAATAACATTTTGCTGTCCTAAAAACGTGAATGAAAAAGATCCCATAAGAGCACTTGCATGTTTTAGTCTCCTCTACCTTCCTAAATATTCTACAATGGAAGGAATGGAAGAAGCACTTCAAGTAGCCATCAACAGCAACAGAGGATTTGGCTGACCCTACCTCATACCATTGACTCCTGTTTGGAAATATTTTCAAAAATAAAATTAATTAAAAAATTTATTAACACAAAAATCTTGTTGACTATTTAATATGTTTACCTATTCATATTAGAATCACTGATTTTGCATGTAAGATCTATTAGTTATAATATAGATTAGGCTGTTAAAACAAGGCAACCCTAAAACACAGTGCATTAAATAAGACAAGTTTATTTTTCTCTCATAAATACCTGGGTAGTTTGTCCAGGGCTGAGGTGGTGCTTCTCCCACTCATACTGCTGTGGTAAGTCAAAGATGATATAGCCCTGTTGCAAGTTTCAGTGGAAACTTGCCCATTTCCATCTTAAATCATATCTATTGCATTTGAAACTGTTGACTACTTTCTCCTCAAAACTGTCGTGAACTGCTAGACTGTGGCTTTCTTTTTCTCGGCTTCTTTCCCATCTCCTTTGTATCTTTCTCTTACACTCCCCTGACCTAAAGTACTAGTGCAGTCCTGTTTTCTCACTTTCCACATACTTATTATCAGCGTCAGGGCTTCAATTATTACATCCATATTGATGCTACTCAGATCTCTCTCTGACCTACAGGACTGTATCTCTGCCTGCATGCCCCTTGGCTCCTTAATCTCAACACATTCAAGGAGGAAAATATCATTTTTCTCTATCCTCAGTTTCAGGCGGTACACCAATATCTCCAGGCAGAATCCTTCAATCATTTTCCCTTCCTTCCTCTTCATCCCCCAACATTGAATAATCAATTATGTCCTGACAATTCTTGTTCTAAATCTCTCTTTAACCCCACTGTCAATGCTGTACTGAGGCTCACATCATCTGTCCCTTCACTGCAACAGTCACCTCTCAACTGGTCTTTTCTTTAGACCAACACTCTCCAATAGAACATTCTGTGGGGCTGGAAATCTCCCATATGTGCACTATGCCATAGATCAGGCAGTAGTGGAGGGAACAGAGTTCAGAGCTGTGCTGTTCAGTATGTGACTATTTAATTAAAAGTTAAAATTTAAAATTCAGTTCCTCAGTCACATTAGCCACATTTCAAGTCCTCAGCGACGACATATGACTGGGAGCTACTGTGCTGGCAAGCAAATGTGGATCTAACCACCACAGGAGTCGATAACATACAAAATCCCTGTAATTTTCAATGTGCTTTTTTCTTTTTTTCTTGGAAAGAAGAGCCACAGTGTTTATCAGCTGCACAAATTAAGTTATTTGAAAAGTTAGGCCCTGGCCAGTTTGGCTCAGCAGTTGAGCGTCAGCCTGCGGACCAGAGTCCTGGTTTCGGTTCTTGCTAGGGGCATGTACCACCAAAAAAAAGAGAAAATAACAAGTTAGACAATAAAGCCCAGCTCCCAAATCCTTCCTGTAAGCTCCAGCCCCGCCTCCCACCATTGCCCTGTATACATAGCCTACTTCATTCTAGTCATTTGTAACTGTCTTGGTTTCCTGTATGGGCCAGTTTCCTGTTTTCACACATGCTTTTTCTTTTGCCTAGGAACTCTGTTCTCATCCCACCCATTTTTCTTTATTCACCTCGATTCCACATCCCTGCCTTGAGTTATCCCCACTTGTTCCTTGGGATTCACTTCAGCTATCATGGCTATCTAGTAGATGCCATGAGAATGAATTAATAAGTGATTGTGGAATATGGCTACCTAGCTCAGCATTTCACAGGTGTAGTCATCTGAGGGCCTAGTTGTCATGGTTCAATAAATTAGCCTAAAGAGCCACCTAGTGGCATATGCAGAAGATAGCAATTCCAATATAGCATTTCACTAAAAGGGACAAATCTTGGAAAGGAGACAGGTCTTTCCCCCAACAGTAGTGAGAATCTACTGTTTCTTGGCTAAGTAATTTTCTATTATCTACCTCACTTAAAACTAGTACCAGGTCTGGAAGTAGGTATCATCTTTTTCATCTTACAGATGCAGAGTCTGAAGTTCAGAGAGGCTTCCTTTGCAGGATTAGGAGAAAATGAAGAGGGAGAGTAGGTCACAAGTCCTTTTTGGCTCTCTCAGAGTAGGAAATTGTCACTTAGAAAGTTGGTAGAATGGATGTTATTTATGGAGTGATTCAAGATGATCCCTGTCAGTGATGGCAGATAACACAAAGGAAAATAATCTTTTTTTTTTTGTCCTCACCCAAGGACATTTTTCCATTTTTTTGTTCAGACAGAGTGGGAGAGAGAGAGAGAGAGAGAGAGAGAGAGAGAAACATCAACGTGAAAGGGACACATCGAGTGGCTGCCACCCGCACGACCAACCAGGGCCGGGGACAAACTGCAACTGAGGTACACACCCCTAGCGGGAACCGAACCCAGGTCTCTCTGGACCACAGGCCGATGCTCTAACCGCTTAGCCAAACTGGCCAGGGCAAAAAAAATAATCTTGTTGAGAGGCTCTAAGGAATCAAGAAGTCCCCCTGTCATTTATTTTTTCCTTTATTGATTTTTAGAGAGAGGAAGAGACAAAAACACTGATGAGAGAGAACATAGATTGGCTACTTCCAGCATGCCCCCCACTGGGGATCTGGCTCACGTTGTGGGCATGTGCCCTGACACAGGCCGGGCAATCCTGTCATTTTGAAGCCAGCTAATTATTGGGGAGGAGAAATAGGGAAGAATCATAATCAGTGAAAGAATAACAGTAATTCTCATGATGGGTTTCCAGTGAAACAAATGGAGGTGGTGAAGTCAATGTGTGTATAGCGAGAGCTATGTAATGGGAAGCTAGTGAAGAAGAGTCCCCATTAATGGTTGGAAGCCAGAATGACTTGCTAGTGAGGAAGTTGGGAGATCACTAAAAAACATGGAGAATTTTCCAGAAAGGGTGTTGTATCTGAGTCACTAGAAGTAGCACATCATGGTGGACAAAATTTAGAAGCCTTAAGACCTACATTTCACTTTTGGCCATGCCTCTAACTAGCATTTGACCTCCAGCAAATTAACTTGGAACCACTGTGCTGTGCCTTACACTGGAAATTTAGACAGTGCTGTTTTTGTTTTGTTTTTTTCCGGTAACAGCTTTATTGATACATAGTTCATATAGCATGTAATTCAGCCAAATAACCTTTACAACTCAATGTATTTAGTATATTCACAGAACCGTGCTGATTGCCACAATTTTAGAACATTTCATCTCCTCAAAGAGAGACCCTGTACTCTTCACCCCCAGCCCTATGCAACCACTAACCTACTTTGTTTCTATAGATTTGCCTATTATTATGCACATTTCATGTAAATGAAATTCATGTGATTTTTCTGTAACTTGCTTCTTTCACTTAGCATGTTGTTAAGGTTAATCCACGTAGCATATATTGGTGCTTCATTCCTATTTTTTGCCAAATATTTGTTGTATTCACACATTTTAAATTATTTTTTTAAATGTTTTATTGATTTTTTTAAGAGATAGAAACATTGATCAATGTGAGAGAGAAACACACATTGGCTGCCTTCTGCACACCCACTACTGGGAATCAAGCCCAAAACCTGGACATGTGCCCTGACCTGGAATCAAACAGGGACCTCTCAGTCCACAGGAAGATGCTCAGTCCACTGAGCCACACCAGCAGGGCTGTATTCATACATTTTATCTATCTACTCATCACTTGGACATTTTTGCTTGTTTTTGGCTCTTATGAATAATGCTGCTATGAACACTTGTGCACAAGTTTTCATGTGGACATGTTTTCAATTCACCTTGTATATATACCTAGGGGAGGAATTGCTGGGTTATATCGTAACTTTGTTTAACTTTTTGAGGGACTACCAACTGTTTTCCAAAGAAGCTTTAGCATTTTATGTTCTCATCAGCAGTGTATGAGGGCCTGAGAAATTTATAAAACTGATTATCTATTAAGAAGTGCCGGTGAGCCCAGCCAATGTGGCTCAGTGGATTGAGCATCGTTCCAAGGACTGAGAGGTCTTGGTTCAATTCCTGGTCAGGGTACATGCCTGGGTTGCACGATCAGTCCCCAGTGGGAACCATGCAGGAGGCAGCAGATCAATGTTTCTCTCCCCTACTTCCTCTAAAAAAAAAAAATCAATGAAAACATATTGAAAAAAAGTGTAAGTGAAATAACAAACATTAACTCTAGGTAGTTCACCACAAACCCCCACCTCACCCCCAATCCCACACACACTTTTTTGTGCTATTGTCATACATATTTCATCTACATGTTACAGCCCAACAATACTTTATTGTTTTCATTATTTTAACATCTCCAACAGAAAAGGAGACTATATGTCTGTAGCATTGTTATATTAATCTTATGTACCTTTTCTGGTTCTGTTCATTTGTTCCTGTGAATTCGAGTTAACCATCTGATGTCATTTCCTTACTCCAGTAGAGTTTTGCTCCCCTCCATTTCCTTTGTGCTGTTAATGACAATATGATATATACCCCAAAATACAATTATAAACATATTTTCTATAGTTGTTGTGCAAATCAGTTCAGAAAAGAGAGAACATTTGCATTTACACTTTTATAATCACATAATTTCCTTTACTCTTCTGATGGCTTATACCTCCTGAGAAGATACATAACCCTCAACTAGGTGGATGTGGGAAGAGGGAGCCCTGTGTTCTTGGCTGTGCCCTCCTGGAGTGTCAATCACTGAACTGAGAAAAGGCAGAAAGATGTGAATGGTAGTTCAAATGCCACAAACTCTGCTGTATTTACTGAGTTTTAGATTTTCTTGTTTCTTCATTGGGCTGTATGCCCTTAGAACAATTTCCAGAGACTTGACATAGTTGTTGTGTTTATAATTTTCACCAGTTATGTTTCCACTGGGGAAATGGTCTGCAGAGTTCCTTGTGCTGCCAGTATTGTTTAGCTCTTTACAAAGTGCTTTCACATGTAATTTAATGTGTTCCTCATAATTGTTTAAAAGAAGCAGAAGGATTTCTAGCCCTAAAAATTAAATTCAGAGATGTTAAGGAACGTGCCTAAAATTACATGCTTGTTAGAGCCATGTGTTCACTTTCAGGAAGTTTCAGACTTAATGCCTGCTCTGTGCTAAGCATTCAATAAAAAATGTTGAGAAATTTATTGTCTAGACAGGAGATAGAAAAAGGCAATGGCAGTACAAAGTTAAGTGCTACAATAGAGGTAAAACAGATCGTACTTTAAGAAAACAATAAAAAGAGCATCAGCCTTGAATAAGAATTTAAACCCAAGAATTTTTTTTTTTTTTTTATCCTCGCCCGAGGACATTTTTCCATTTTTTTGCACAGATAGAGTGGGAGGGAGAGAGAGGAAGAGAGAGAGAGAGAGAAACATCAACGTGAAAGAGACACATCGAGTGGCTGCCACCCGCACGACCAACCAGGGCCGGGGACAAACTTGCAACCGAGGTACGTGCCCTTAGCGGGAACCGAACCCGGGTCTCTCCGGACCGCAGGCCGACGCTCTAACCGCTGAGCCAAACCGGCCAGGGCTAAACCCAAGAATTTTGATTCCTAATTGTTTTCCTTATAGATGAGTTTGCTCAAAATAAACACTGTACTGTATAGTGATTAAGAAGCTAGACTGAAGCCACATTGCTAGATAGTTTCAATTTCAGTCTAATTATATGCTGTTACCCTGGGTAAATCACTTAATATCTTTGTGCTTTAGTTCCCTCATCTGTAAAATGGTGCTAATATTACCTAACCTACCCCTTAGGTTATACGATTAAAGGTTTGTGTAATATGCCTGAAACTACCTAGTGTGCAATTTGTACTATATAAGTGATTACTAAATGAATTCTATTAGTGAGAATATGGAATTAATACTGACCTCCCCCAGGGATATACTGGTCGGTTTCCTCTAAAATCATAAAATGCTGAACTTGCAAAAGCTGAAAACAGACTTTTCAGAATACAATGATTGTTTTTTTTTTATCCTCACCTAAGGACATTTTCGCATTTATCTTTAGATAGAGAGGAAGAGAGAAAGAAACATCAATGTGAGAGAGACACATCAACTGGTTGCCACCCACACGACCCCAACCAGGGCCGAGGATCAACTGCAACCCAGGTACATGTCCTTAGTGGGAACCGAACCCCAGTCTCTCTGGTCTGCGAGCCGATGCTCTAACCACTGACCCAAACAGACCTGGGATACAATGCTTGTTTTATCAGCAAATTTGTTTCATTTACACTGACCACAGGGAGATTTAGGGTAAATGGGAACCTTTGTAGTTTTCTAAGTTATTTGCAGATTGCCATAAATTTTTAAAATGTGATTTGTACTGTAGTGTATACATTGAATCAATACCACACAAAATACATTTAACATCATGGTTTAATTTCCTTTTGTTAATCTGTCTACAGCTTCTATTAAACTACTTAAAAGATTCTAGAAAAATCAATGTAGTATATTCAATTTTTAGGTTTCTTTATAGTTACTACTAAAATATTTGTTATACCTCTGAAATAGTTATTATATTAACCTCAGTCTTGTTGAAAGTTCTGGAAAATCAGGAACTATTATGTCAAATGCTCATGCCCTTAGTAGTGCTAAACTGGTCTCCTAAAGCAGGTAAATAAACTGAAATGTGGTTCAAAACATAGTTCTCAGCTCAATAGGATACAATCAGCTATTTGTAAGACTTCTAACACCCCACCTCTACTCCCAGAGGTAAGTACTTTCTTGGGAACCTGTTCTATTTGAGTATTAAGTGCCTCTCTAAAAATAGCCTACATTTTAAAATTTAGAATATTTTTACATGTTCCCTCCCTTAGAACCACACTCATGACCAAAAACAAAAACCCTCCAAAATGTTTATGGAAAAGTGTCATCTTATTTTATTATTACTAATTTAAGTATTTGATTCCAAAGTAATGAAGGTAATTTTACAAACTCAGAATTTTTAAAGTCCATTAAATTTCCATTTTATTTTAGTTTTATATCACACTAATTCAAATGCATTTCTCTACAACTACTCCAACATAGCTCCTTTGGAATTATTTCAGTTATCTGTATAACATGAGACTTTACCAAAAGTCATGTTTTTAATCTAAAACAAACATAAAATTTCAAAATATTAATTTTTAGATGAAAGGGATAAGAAAGTCATTAGATGATGGTTGGGTTGTTGCTTTCCAAGAAGACATTGTGTTGAAATGTTTCTTCTGATATAGCAGTTATCAATTAGAACCTTCAAAGAACAAGGACAGAACCAAAGTACAATAAAAGAAGGCTTCTGCAGCATATGCTTCCCATAGTTCTAAGTAAAGCAAAGCATCTCTTCTGAAAATTAAGTGGGTTTCCAGTATTTCCATGCAGTTGAGCTTTCAGAGACAGACACTCAAGAATTATCATTAATTATATACTATCTTGGCTCTGATTGCATTAATTATGCCTAAAGAGTTTAATACCCATCCAAGTCCAAAGGTGGAAGAACACGTACACTGGTATGGTAATGGGCAAGAGCAAACTGTAAAAGCACAGGCTGGCTGCGCTAGTGCAGCCCTGTGGGAAGTTTTCTTCCACAGAAGCTGAGTAGAACAGTCCTGCTAAAGAGATCAATGGAATAAGGACAGTCAATGTAGGAAGAGACAGAAACATTCTTCTCTCCCACTTATTACCTGCCACTTTGACTTTTTAAAAGGTAGACAGTAGTAAGAAAATTTAGTTGTATCTGTTGTTTGTAATTATGATCTAGTGCTGCTCCATATCTTCTTGCTTCTTATTTTGATGTGTCATCCTAGCTGCCTGTGGTATCATATTAGGAATCCCATCAACAATTGGATAGGCTATTCCCAACTCTTCATTAATCAATTCATTTGTCGATGCTTCATATCTGAAGAGGGGGGAGAAAAAAATGAACTGTAAAAAACAAAATGCTTGGAAGAGCTTTATGTTCAATAAATAACACCATTTATCCAATTCTTGACACAGACTTAATCCCAGAAAAGCAGAAGTAAACTCCTTTTAACTCTAAAAGCAATAATAGCCAATTGAATCATTTCTTTTAGAAAATGAATCCCTAATTGTTCCTATTTTAATCAACGTCTCTCATGTTTTCTTTTTCACTTTATTTTCAATTTATGCCTTAAGTTTTTTTTAACTTATTTTTTTCTTTTTAAATCCTCACCTGAGGATATTTTTCCATTTTTGTTCAGATAGAGAAGGAGGGAGAGAGAAGGTAGAGAAACATTGATGGGCTGCCTCCTGCACGCCCCCTACTGGGGATGAGCTTGCAACCCAGGCATATGCCCCGACCAGGAATGGAACCAGGACCTCCCAGTCCATGGGAGGATGCTCAATCCACTGAGCCACACCGGTTGGGCTCTGCCTTAATTAAAAAAAATACCAGTCAGAAAAGATCTCCCCTTTCCATCATCACTCTGGTCACCCCCAAAACCATCCCAGTTAATTTACTACTGGAAAGACACTACAGAAAAATTCAACTTTCTCATTTTAGAATACACGAAGCAAACTCTGATCCATTAAAGGAAACCACTGAAAAATCAAAATACACAAAATAAAAGTATGAGAAAGATAAAAGAGCAGAAATGAGAAAACTGGAAAACAGCACATCTGCAGTGAGCTAGTTAAACAATCAGCTAAAAGGCAGATCAAATGATAATTTCAATGTTCAAGAAAATTTCATATGTTCATTAGGGAAAAAAAATCTAGAAAGAGAAATGCAGAAAAGATAAAAATTAAAAATGACTAGCAATTGACCAAGCAAAGATGGTACCACTCATAACATGTTGGTGTTCAGTATATTCAATCTGCAATACTCCTGTTGTCAGTATTCAGTATTAGTAGCCTGCACTGGAGAGCAGTTTATCCTAAAGACTCTAAGTTAAAAGTTAAGAAGGCCTTTACAAAAACCAGCTTAGCCCAGAACTAAAAGCCAAAGGACAGGACACGAAGCTTACACGGCACTTACACAAGGATCTGGAGGTACTACAGTATTTTCATCTTGGCTTAAAACCTTAATGGGGACTAGTCTTGATCCCACAACATCATAAACCTGGCTGTACATCACTTAGGGTGCTTTAAGAAGAGATTCGTAATTGCTCAGGCCCCGCCCCCACCTTCGATCGGGCGACCTGGGGGTGGTGCTTGGTGCTTGGGAATCGGCAGTTTTTATTTTTATTTATTTATTTTTATCCTCACCAGGACATTTTTCCATTTTTTTGTTCAGATAGAGTGGGAAGGAGAGAGAGGGGTACAGAGAGAGAAACATTAACGTGAAAGGGACACATCGAGTGGCTGCCTCCCACACGCACGACCCAACCAGGGAACCAGGGCCGGGGACAAACTGCAACCAAGGTACATGCCCTTAGTGGGAACCGAACCCGTCTCTCTGGACCTCAGGTCAGCGCTCTAACCGCTGAGCCAAACCGGCCAGGGCGGAATCAGCGTATTTAAAAGGACCCCGGATGGTTCCAAAGCACAGCCAGTGGCGAACCTACAAACGCCAGTCGGCAGTTTGATTTGGGAGGCCTGGGGCTCGCATCCCCCGCGGCCTGCTCCCGCCCTTCTCGCCACCGAGGGAGGAGCGCGGGAGCTGGCGGAGCCCCAAAAAATGGCAGCGGCGAATACCCGGACTGACCTGAAAGGCTGCCCAATGGCCGTAAGCGGTCGCGCGGTCCCCCTGCCCCTGCCCCTCCCCCTCCCCACAACGGGAGGCCGCGAAGGGAAGCCCGCGGCTGGCGACTCTCACCTGAGTGGCTTCTTGGAGAGGGGGCACACCAAGAACTCCAGCAGCGCCGGGTCGAAGGCGCGGGGCGGTCCCCCGTTCCTCTCGTTCCCGTCAGCGCACAGCCGCGACCCCGATACACGCAGGCACCTATGGGCGACCGTGGGGTGCGGCGCGCCTGTGCTCCGCAGCGCTGAGGGGAGGGGGAGCCTGCGGCCCGCTACACTCAGCATGGTCTGGCAGCCCGCGACTGCCCCTCACCGCTCTCCCGCTGAAGCTGACCCACCGCCTCCAGTCCGGCCGGCCAGGCCTCGCCCCGCCCCTTGGTGCTCTGGAAACGCAGCCCCCACAGGCGAGGGCTAGCGATTGGTTCCGAGGGCGTTCCTGACCCGACTGCTTTTCTCGGGGCACCGCTCAGTAAAGAAGAGCGCGGCCTGAAGCCAGACTCCTGTGGTGGCTGCTCTATCGTGTTTGCAAATAACAAAAATAATGCTTAAGTCGGGGTACCTTGAGTTTTCACTAGGGCATGTCTCTGGGTGCCAGGAAGCCAGTGGCCGGACCTCAGAGTCACGCAGTGTTAGACTGGGACCTATATGGTTATCTATAAAATGAGGTTTCAAACACTCTTGTCATATTAGGTATGGTAAAAGCACTACCTCCATCTCCGGCTGGTTTGGCTCAACGGTTGGAGCGTTAGCCTGTAAAACCGACAGTTCGGGGTTCGGTCCCCGCGAGGAGCATGTACCAAGAAAAAAAAAAAAAAAGAAGCACTAGCTTGCTTTATGTAAATCTTTACCACAATTCCTGTAAAATTATTGGCGTTTTTCTTTTCCTTTTCTCATTTAAAAAAATATTTAAGAACCGGAAAAGAATGGCTTAGTCCTCTTAACGTTCCAAAACGTCCATACTCTTACCCTGTGGGATTCATTTGTAATTCAGCTGCATAATAAAACACGGTTAAATTTACTTCTTTAAATGAGCTTGGAGACAGCAAGAGTCTAAATAACTGTGTAATCAGGCAAATGTTTCGTTAAAGGGGTGATCCATTGTGGATTTTTGCCCCCTGTTTGCCTCTGGCTCTCCAAAGAAATAAGACAGGTTTGATCTCTTGTCCTGCAGTAGATAACAGAGCTTGGGCTCTGGGGCCTGATAGCTTGGTTCCAAGTCCATAGTTTACTAGCTGTATGACTGCAGCAAATGACTTAACTACTCACTTTCCTTATCTGTATAATAACATTAATAATTGTTCCTACCTTGAAAAATTCCCTTGTGGGGATTCATATATGACAGAGAATTTAGAAAAGTGCCTGGGACAAATTAATGTTATCGATATTTTCATTTCCCCTATTCTTCCCGGTTCACTATAGTAAAAAATAATTTGTTAGTCACTAGTTTTTTCTCTTTGTTTTGTTGAATATTGATTTAAACCTTTTCTTTTTTTTTTTGGACTTGACCATTTTATACTTTGAGCTCCTGGGAGGTAGGGATGAGAGTGAGGGATATACAGGTACAAATATAAGATTATATTTTCAAGTTTATCTTCCACTCAGTAATGTAAAAATAAATTGAGAAATTTTTATATTGTTTGTCCACTCTATTTTTAAAAATCTACTACATTATTTGATGCTCTTTGTTTATTAATACTAAAATGATTTTAGCAGAGGGCAGTTGTTAAGAATGTAGGACTATTATAAAGTTCCTATGTTACCTTCACATTATTTCCTACTAGGACAGGAATTAATTTTTTAGTTTGTAGTTAGTTGATACTTTGGGCCCTAGGGAGGGGGTGAACTATAGGAAAGATATGTTTCAGTGAGTTCTGGGGAAGCAGAGCTTGACTTCTATCAGAATTGAATGGACTCAGGCCAGGCTGGGCAGGCCTAGGGCCTTGGCCCCTGTAGCACAGGGGTAGGCACCCATGCTTAAGGCCAGCTTCATTAGCCTCAGCTGCCTGGCCTGGCTGACAGATCCCTATCACCTGGGTTTCTAACCAGTTATAAATAAATTAGTGAAGAACGAAAAATAATGACTTGAAAGGTAACTGGGAATAAATGGATTATTAATGCTTATTGGAAAGTTGAAAAATAGTTTTTGTTTATTAGAATAAAGGAGAGGAGGACTCATAGGGTTTTTTTCCCCAGATATCAAGTAATTATCCATGATTCAGTAACTGAACCAAGGACATGAATGAGGGAGACCCATCAGTTAAGAAATTCTGCCCCAGTGTAAATCTAGAATTTAGGGCATGTTTTAAATAGCGCCAAGCCAGCACTGTTTCTGCTGTCCTTGAGGCCTGACGGACATCTCAATGCCTGTAGTAAAATTCTCTTGTATTAATCCAAACAACGTAAATATTAAGTTGCAAAATGTCAAAGCAAAACATCTCTAAACAGCCCCCAGTAAATAAGGAATATAACTCATTCGTGCATGTAATATACTAAGCTGAATGTAGATGATAGTATAGAATTGTAAAATCATTAGTCCTTTTTTACTGTTGGCACGACTATTATCTTTCCCATCTCAGAGCCCTGTGCGAACATGTAATAACATGATGGGTTCTGGGCTAAGGTACCTAATGAGCTGTGTGACCTTGGGGAAGCTATTTAACTTCTCTACCTTGATGTTATCACATGCAAAATACATGCATTCCTCTTTGTATTGTGCTTCTCTTTATTGGAATTCATAGGTGTTATGTTTTTTACAAAAATACTATTTTGTGATATCACTTTATTGTGATATTTGCTTTCTAACAGTGGTCTGGAACCAAACTTGAAATAGCTCCGAGGTATGCCTATGGTATAGCAATAGTCCCCATCTTATTAGAGTTATTGAGAGGCTCAAATTAAGTCCGTAGTAGAAAAGTAAAGCCATTATTAGCACAGGGTTAGCACAGACTACACTTTAAAAGTATTTTATCAGCAGTAAAATTACTTTTTGTGTTAAAGTTGGTGAAAATTCTAATTAAAAAATGTTGACAAAAGAAGTCTGGCCTAAGAAAAATTCTTAGAAGAGTTTATTTAAGCCAAATTGACAACAATTAATGGTAAGCAAAATATAAGTGTATTGGGGAAATGCTCTGGAGAAGGATTGTTTTACAGCTTATTTTATACATTAGAATCAAAGGAGGAGACATAAGGGGGGGGTTTACATGAAATTTGCTGGTAGTAAATTAAGGAAGTATGAGAAAGCAAAGCAGGGAAATCTCTGAGATTGGATAAAAGGTAAAAAGGAGAGACACATCTTTTACTTTGGTGGGTACGGGATAGTTAATAATTAACATTTACAGCACATAGAGATGGTATGTGGACAATAAGATAATAATGAGGCCCTGGCCAGTTTGGCTCAGCGGTTGGAGTGTCGGCCTGCAGTCCAGAGAGACCCAGGTTCCGTTCCCGCTAAGGGCACGTGCCTCGGTTGCAGTTTGTCCCCGACCTTGGTTGGGTCGTGTGGGAGGCAACCACTTGATGTGTCCCTTTCATGTCGATGTTTCTCTCTCTCTCTCTCTTCCTCCCACTCTATCTGAACAAAAAATGGAAAAATGTCCTCAAGTGAGGATAAAAAAATAATAATAACAATGAGGGGTTCTGTGGTCTTGTGTTCTGGTGGAAGGTTGTACCCTGAGGGTTCTGGAAAAAGATTACTCTGACATTCCAAAGGTATGTTATGCAAAAAGACCTTTTGCAAGGAAGTTACAATCCTAAAATGTGATTACCCACTATGACTCACTTATAGTTAGGAATTTTTATGTTCAGACCACCCTATGTGGTTGCTTTCAGTCTCTGAGTTTGCAAAGCTCTTCATAATGGCCTCCCCTGAACTTGTCAGGTTTAATACGTGGCCCCTTCTTAAGCCACAAGAAAGGAAAGCACATTGTGCCACTGGGCACCTTAATTTTAACTGATATGGAATTTTTATAGTTTCCAGTGTGGCTAATAATAAAACACACTCTTGGGCTATCATATCCATTAAGTGAGGTAGAAATCACCAGGCAGAGAAACTAGAATATATATTTTATTTAATTAATTAATTAATTAATTTATTTATTTATTTTTAATCCTTACCAGAGAATATTTTTCCATTTGTTTTATCTTCAGATACAGTCGGAGGCGGGGGGGCGGACAGTGACATGAGAGAGACACATTAATTGGTTGCCTCCCACTTAACCCTGACCAGGGCCGGCACCAAACCGTAACTGAAGTATGTTCCCTTGACCAGCATTGAACCCACGACTCTTTGGTCTACAGGCTGATCCTCTAACTGCTGAGCCAAACCAACCAGGCCAAAACATATATTTTATTTAATAAGGTCCTATAAATACCAAATTTGGGGGCATTGAAATTTGAGTTCTGATCCAAAGAAATTAAAACAAATTTTCCACCAGATGGCATCATTCAGTATTTGAACTAACATTTATTTCTACCTGTACTTTTCTTTCTGTGATTATAAAGATTTGCTGTTATTTTGCCAGTGCTTTCCTTAATTTTGTGATATCTACTATACGGTGAAAAAATAAAAGAAATTTATTGATAAGTTGCAATTATAATGAGCTCATTAAAACCAAAAGTCCAATAGATAAATGGACAGAAAATGTGAAAAAAATTATGAAATAGAAAATGCAGTTGCTCAATAACACATAAAAATATTCATCCTCAATAGTAAGTAATACAAATTTTATTTTATTTTTTATTTATTTTATTTTATTTTTGTTACAGATGTTTCTCCTTTTTTACCCTATTGACACCCTCCTCCCCATCCATCCCACCCCATCCCCAGCTTAGTTGTCCATGTCGACTGGTTATGAGTATATGCATATAAGTTCTGTGGTTTATCTCTTTCCTCCCCCCACCACCCCCCTCTTCTGAGGGTTGTCAGTCTGTACCCTACTTCCATGTCTCTGGGTCTACCCATTCTTCAGACTGTTATGTTCATTATATTCCACAAATGAGTGAGATTATGTGGTATTTGTCTTTTTCTGCTTGGCTTGTTTCGCTTAGAATAATACTTTCCAGGTCCCTCCATGTCGTCTCAAAGGATAAGAAATCTTTCTTTCTTACAGCTGCGTAGTACTCCATTGTGTATATGTACCACTGCTTTTTTATCCATTCGTCTACTGATGAACACTTGGGCTGTTTCCAGATCTTAGCTATTGTAAATAGTGCTGCTATGAACATGGGGGTACATATATTCTTCCTGATTGGTGTTTCAGGCTTCTTAGGGTATATTCCTAGAAGTGGCATCACTGGTCAAATGGAAGTTCAATTTTTAATTTTTTGAGGTAACACCATAGTGTTTTCCATAGTGGCTGCACCAGTCTGCAT